GGTGCTGCTGGGGAAGCCGGGGAAGAGGCCCAGGAAGAAGCGCACCGCGGCCACGCTCACGACGTCGCAGCTCGCGAAGTTGAGGGTGTACATGTCCAGGAGGCTGTCGCCGCGGAAGGAGAAGATGGCGGTGAAGGAGAGGAGACCGTAGAAGGCCAGGATCAGCACGTAGTCCAGGAGGACGAGGCGTGTGAGGTGGCGCTTGGAGGAGACGGGCGTGAGGAGGGACGGCAGGGAGTGCTGGCACATGAAGGAGTACACGCACACCCCGAACAGGTTCCGGACCCCCGAGAGGTCGGCCAGGGGTGGGTGCCCCTCCCCGCGCCCACGCCCGATGCGGACCAGGGCCAGCACGATCATGATGGCGAAAGCTGCAGAACAAACGAGAGGGTGTCAGCAGCAGAGGAGGCAGCCCACCCGACAGTGTCTGGTCTGGGGGCACCCCCAAGGGACTGGAGCCCCAGGAGCAAGAACTGTTCAAGGCACGTGACCCTGACAGCCACATCTGGAGCAGGTCAGCAGTTGCTATGGATCTTATGAATGCACTGGGCGTCCCCTCCCCATGTCCCGTTCACCCCCACACCAGCAGGTAAAGCCCAGGGTGACACCTGCCCTTTCTTGGTGACTGACACAGGCCTAAGGGAGCAGTGGGCTCTCGGCTCCCCCGGGTGGAGGCTGTGGTCTCTGCACTGTCCCCTTCAGGCCTCACCACACCCGCTCCCTTCGCTGGGACTCACAGGAAGCCAGGGTGACCCTCGCTCTGCCTTCCCACAATGACACCGGGAAGTGGAACCCACAGGGACATCATCCATTACTTTAAATCAGAGCTGCCTGCCACCATCGGGGACAGGAGGGAGGAGGGGGCGAGGGGACAGGCCTATGAAAATTGCCAATAAATAAAATGATTTCTTTCGGACTCTCAGCCCACCTGCCCTGCCGCTCACTCCTGCCTCTGAGGGCCCGCGACTCTCGCCGCCCCAGGGACACCACCAATCTCCCAGCTCTGGTCAGTCAAGGGGAACGCAGCCACTTCCTCTCTAGAGGTCGCAGCCCAGGAGCTGCCTCTGGCTTAACCCTCGAGGGGCCTGGGGGGCCTGTGACAGGACACCCTTGGGGCCTCCCTGCTCCACAGGATGCCCAGGACCCTGCAGTCTGCCTCATTATTTTTGGGGGTGCGCGCAGGGCCAGGATGTGAGGGTGGGATGGGGGAAGGCCGGAGGGGGTGGAGGTGGAGTTCCCTGTGCCAGGAGTCTGTCCTCGGCCAGAAAGGGTTATGAAGCTGAGCTGAGCAGTCAGGCGGCTGCAGCGGGGAGACCGGGGAGACCGGGGGCCTGGCTGCCTGGTGATTAGCTATTCAAGAGGCTGCAGCTGATGCTGTCGCCACGGGCAGGGCACTGGGGTCAGAGCAGAGGGGACAGCTGCTGTAAGGCGAGAGTCAGATCCCGCTGTGCCCTCCTGTCTCGGGGTGTCCCCTCGTGACCTGGTGCTCCTCCGGCCTGGGCCAAGGTCAGCCCGACTCGGAAAGAGGCCAGTGCAGAACCCTCTTGGTTCTTGCTGGCCGTGACCTCAGGCCCTGGAGCGGTGAGCACGTGGGAGGCAGAAGCGGTTGTCAGATGCGAGTGTCTCCCAATCACCGCTCTCCGGCCGGGATGCTGGCTTGTGCTTCTCGGCCCTAAATCTCCAAGAGGTTGTAAGAAACGCAGGCGGAAACTGGCTTGTGGGCTGGCTGGGCAGCCCTGGCTGGGCTCTGCTTCTTGGAGATAAACCAGTTTCTGAAGATCTTCAGAGATGGCTGGTCTCGCTGTATGAATAACCCACAAAAAGGGACCATGTGGGCTTCAG